TGGAAGGGCACGCAGAAGGGACGGCGCGGAAGGATTGAACCAGAATAAAAAGCACAGCTCACTTCGCTCCTTCACCTGCTGCAGCAACTCCCTGCTTAATTGGATGCTTGAGATTGAGGAGTTGCCACGATTCTCACGAAAACAGTTCTGCTCAAGGGCACCGGCCTTACGTCGGCTAAGCCCGCAGCCCCAGCGGGGCGCCGAATGGAAGGCGCAGGAAAGTCAGGAAAGCATGTTTGCAGGCTGATGCGGCAGGTGGGCAGGGTGGATCATATTCTCGGTTCTTCGTTTCCGGTCCCCCCGGGCCTAGCACTCTCTTTGGGGCGGGGGTTTCTTGTGGAAAGGTGTGGACCCCGGGCGGCGGCACTAAGGGCTCTTGCCCGATGAGCACCCCCTTTCCCCCCCTCCCCTGTGCTAGGGCGACAGTGCCCTCTAGTATTCTGGCTCAACTGTTGTTGCAACTGATCCGGCGATGCCGACGTCTCCACCCATCATGGGCCTGAGGACATTCAGTGTATATGTGAGGTATTCCACGCTCATCATATGCATTAGCAACTCCCTGGATTGCTACCTTTGTTATCGGCCTTGTTCCAGGGCTGCGCCTCTGTGCTGTTCATTGCCGCGGTGGTGTGCATGTTCATTTACTGTACCTGATTGGTGGCGTGCTCGCCCTCGGTGCTGGAACAGTGTTCCCTCGGCACATGGCGCACGCCTTTGGGTCGCCTTGTGTGTGCCCTCTGTGCATGGAGCCTCGCTCCCTCGGCACTGGCCGCACGGTTCGCTCCCTTTCAACTCTTTGCGTCTGCTGCCGGTTACTTGGTGTGTTCTTTGGTGCATACAAGCATAAGTATTTCGGTTGGTGACGTCTGGCTTGGCCTCCTGCCTGCTATATCCCTGATCAAGGACTATGCCTCTCCGATTCTTGGGTTTGAAACATGTATCTTAGTATTCTACACCGTGACCTGTCTGCACTAGCTAGTTTTTCCCCCACTTGAACTCTGGGACGGAGGGAGGCGATGACGCTTGCGGAGCCCCCCTGAGATGTTGAGAGGGACGTGGGAGGTAGGCCGCACCGTAAGTGCTGGTCGACACTCACTCACTCACTCACTCACTCACTCACTTCGTTTCCGGTCTCGTAGCGTTTCAAGCCACCGTGCAAATGTAGTCCCGAAGCCTCCCAGGCTGCACGGACCGTTCCATGTTTGTGCTGGTGGTTCTGAGCTTGCAGACAATGACATATGAGCCTGGCCCATTGACTGCAGAGCAACCACTCAGATGTGTTGGAAGCCAGTGTTGTCAGGCAACACTTCTCAATGCTCAGAGAAGCAGTCAGGCTCAAGGGCACCCGGTTTGTGTCGCCTAAGCCCGCTGCAACAGTTTGCCGAATGCATCGCAAGCACGAGGGAAGAGGAAAGCACGCTTGCAGGCTGGCGCAGCAGCAGGGGAGGGTGGATCCTATTCTCAGTGTTTCGTTTCCGGTCGCATAGCTTGATGGTGTAATGCCCAAGCCTCACAGGCAACAAAGACCTGTCCATGTTTGTGCTGGTGGTTCTGAGCTTGCAGACAATGACATATGACTCTGGCCCCGTGACAGCAGAGCAACCACACGGATGCGTTGGAAGCTAGTACTGTCAAGCAGCACTTCTCAATGCTCAGAGAAGCAGTCACGCTCAAGGGCACCCGGTTTGTGTGGCCAATGCCCTCGGCAGTGCCTAGCAAGGCACCGAAAGCATCGCAGGCACGAGGGAAGTCGCAGCAAAGCATGCATGCATGCTGTTACAGAAAGGGTATCAAATGCTTGCTTTTTGCCTTCCGGCCCCGCAGCATGCTTCAGGCCACCGCAAGCATGCGGCCCCCAAGCCCCCCAGACTGCAATGATTGCTCCATGTGTATGCTGGTGTTTCATCCAGTCGATAACATGGGCTTGTGCCCGCGCTCGACTGTCCGCAAGTAAAGAAATGAAGTATGGTTAAATTCATTCCATGTTAAAGCTCCTCCTCCCTCCCTCCCCTCCCTCCCAGATGGAGCAGCCCATCAGGGCTTGATCTAAGCGAAGATGCCACTCATTGTTGGACTGTTCAGCACGTGTCTAGTTTTTGTTCCGGGCAGCGGGTTGTGCAGTCAATGCATTTATGTACAGGGAAATCTAACTCAAATGGGAACTGACCATTGCATCATCTTCTTCTGAAAATTTCATTAACCCAACTGAACCACAACAATCATGAAGGCCGGCGACTGCGGCAAGTGGCTTCAGCATGTAGCTGATTTCAGCTCTCTTCACGCGCTCGGACAGTCTGTGCCGCAAGCATCGTCCTTGCCCTGCACAATGTCTCCTACGATTTTGCTGGCTTTAGGCACCTAATAGCAGCTGAGCGTTTTCGGCGCATCCACGGCACCCCCTTGCCTCAGCCTGGAGACCGCATGCCTTTGGCCTCCTTGCAATCCAGCAATCTCCTGTCCACCCAGTTTTTTTGGCATCTGACGCCTGTTCCGGATAGAGTCGGCGCATGACACGTGGCCACGAGGTGCACGAGATCACCCAGCGTCTTGGGCAACTAGCATGGCAAAGTTCAGTCCATGCTGGTCGCAACGGAGTTTTAGGCGGCTGACTCCATAGCCTGTCGGCCCGGCAAGAGCATGATCATGAGCGTGTTGTGTTCGGCTTGGAAATGCTTCGATACTTCGGAAGCTTGACTTATTTCCGGCTCTGAAGCAGCTGTCCACGCACAGGCACAGCTTGAAGCAACCAACCCAGACTCACATTGGCAAAGGTCGACCCTCCACAAAGGGCTCATTTTGATCAGGAGTGCAAGGAGCTGGCTCCGGTAGCCGCGTCTCCTCTTTGCGCCGTCCTAGGCTGTGCACGGCTGAGCCCCCGGGCTTGGTAAACGTAGGACTTGCAGGGGGTGTGGGGGAGAGGAAACTGTTCTACGGTGTGCTGCTCCTGCTGTAGGGCACTAAGTCGGCGGCTTGATGCTGCCTGCCGGCGGCGACGATGGCCCTGTTCCCTGTCACTCCAAAAGTATAGACCCTAAACCCTAAACCCTAGTAGATTCCGTTTAGAATCCCTTAAGGAACCCCTTAAGGAACCCTTAAAAAGCAATCTGATGAACTCCGATGTGTGCATGGGAGGGGGCCGGTCTGGAGGGGCGGCGCCAAGTCCTTTTGCTGGTCCATGACCCTCCAAAAGTTCAAGAGATATAGGCCCCATAGTAGTTCCTTTTTGGGATTACCTTATAGAATTCTAAACATGAACCCCAAAAGCAACTACTCTGGCATTACATACCGGCCTTCAGGGTGAGGCCGGTTGGTAGCTTGAGGGTCTTAGCGCGTGATTCCTTGGATTACTTGAGCTGTAGCTCCGCCGAAAAGACAGCGTGCAAGAGCCAGCACCGTTCATTGGTGCCAGAAACTAGTGCAGCGAATAAGGCGAGGCCCCAAACAGCAGGATGCGTGTCGGGAGCCTTCAAGTGCTTTGCCGGTCAAACACAGCACTGGAGACTGTGTTGTCATGGGCTCCTTGGCATGTCCCGACTAGTCTTCAAAGGCATGAACACCAATGAAGCCGCCCCACAAAAGCTGAGATTCAGCGAGGCTGCTTTCCAAGCCTTCTTGTCACTGCAAAAATTAGCCGTGCTAAGCCCTTCTAAAGGAGAATCTCAGAACGCAGCGATTCTTAAGGCCGCATGTAAGTGCACGACTGGGCGGGCGCCGCAGACATTAGGTTGGCTTCTTCACACTAGAAAGTCTGAGCTTGTCAGGGCCTTAGAGTATGTTTCTTGCTTTAGAACAGGCGCTGTGAGCTGTGCCGAAGGCTTTTTGGCTTGCAGTCTTGGGCGACAGACAATCTGCGCTGTGGTGAGCCAGTTGTGTGTTCCAAGGAGCCGTGAGTTCATAGGTGTGCCTGGCAAACGCTTGTTCTTGGAAACAGGGCGCTGGGCGCTCGGTCCTCTAATGCGGGGACCGTAGGGCTCCGTTGACGGACCACTAGCCGCCGTCTCGGCCAGCATGTTGCAAGCGCATTGCGATGTGGCACACATGCCAGTGCCATGACCGGTTCCCTGTACTTGCAAGGGTTGGCGGTTGCCGCGGCGGGCGTTGCTAAGCCGTTCCCCTCCGCTGTGCCTCTGCCTCTAACTGCAGGGCGCCAGGCCTTGCATGTGCCTCTAGCTTCCTTTCTCCAGGCCTTACACTGCCTGGGCCTTCGAGGATGTGGGGATTTCAGTTTACAGCTGTTCGGCCTCGGAGCTTCGGGTGGGCCGAATGTCCCTTGACCTGAAACTCATCAAGATCCACTGGCAGACTTGCTTTGTCTGCTTTCGAGGAGATTCACTTGGACTCACTTGGGTCCGCAGTGCTCGCAAGCATCACTGATGGTGGTAGCGCCAGTGCAGAAAGCTTTGCCATGCGTTGCCACGCATGGCCCTGCAGCTGTCAAGGTGAACACGCGAGTTCAGTGCAGCAGACGTGGAAAGCCCATGCAGAAGTCCTGATTTACGATGCAGCCCTGGTGTTTGGTCTGTGATGTTGCCGCATGAAGCTGGCAACAGACCGGCGGCAGTTGTCGCACCTGGTCATATGTTGAACCTGACAGCAGGCTAGAAGTACAGAGGAAGTGTCATGCTAAACAGGGATTGAAATGCCAGGCCACGGGCTGTGCTGCAAGCCGTCTTTGGCGCAGCTCCACTGCAGATATTACCTGCTTCCTGCGGAAATTCCTGTCCAGAGCCACTTCGCGGAGAAAAAAGACGTATTGCTTGCCGCTGCTGCTTGCATCCAAACATCCGGAACTCCATGTCGTTGTGCGGACGTATACTCGTAGCTTTAATTCTTGTGCACAATATATGTCCGTGACGTGATGCAACTGGTCTCCGTTTGCGCTTAAAGCACTGTAGCTCTCGCTAAATCCATTGAAGCACGCTTTACACGGTGCTTTCCGTCGCTAGCCATTTGGAAAGATCCTAAAGCTTTTGGTTTCGGAACAACTCCGTCCCGAAAAAATGGCTCTTCGCGGCCAGCCCGGAGCTTGGTCAAACTGGGGAGTGCTTTGTTGGCTTTGGTCAGGGATGTCAGGGTGTCACCACCGTGCTAAGGGTGACGCCCTTCGGGCCATACGGTGGCCTGACCTGGGACTTCCTGCGCCGGGACCGCGATGAGCGATGCGGGTTGGGGTTGGGGGGGGAAGTGCTCTCATGTCATCTCGTGTCAGGATCGCCAAGAAGAGACTCCCGAGCGCCTGGAAGCCCTGGGAGCAGCGTCTGGTGCTGCAGACGTCGAGTATGAGCAGTTTATGAAAACCAAGGAGGCTTGCTGAGGGGTGAAGGTGCTGAGAAGATCCGGTGTGTCCTAGAGGTGTCTCCTTGTGCAGGTGCAGAGGGCTATGTTCCAACAAGAGACTTATCGGCTGTTAACTCAACTTTTTGGAGTTCTTATAAGGTAGTCGATTCTGAAAGTTTCAACTTTGATTTCCTTGGGTGCCGGTCGTCGCAAAATTTTTCATCAGTGAGGAGAACAAGACTATCGTGCACCAGTGCGCGGACACGGACATCATCGAAGCCGCAGTGGGTTCGGTGGCGTGCATCGACGGCAATCAGGCAGCAGCTCACGTGGCCTATGCCCTCAGTGACTGTGCCTTCATCTACCCCATCACGCCATCGTCTCCCATGGGCGAGATGGTGGACGAATGGGCCGCGCAAGGCGGGTGAATGCATCGGTGAAGGGCAGGGTTTGGGCGTTTGGGCCGTAAACCTTGTCTGAGGCCTCATCAACTGCTACGGCCAAAAGCTCAGTGTGACGGAGATGCAGAGCGAGGCAGGTGCTGCTGGAGCCCTGCACGGATCTCTCAAAGCTGGCGCCCTGAGCACCACCTTCACGGCGAGCCACTGGGCCGAAAGGGCCTAATGTAACCTTCCTTCCCTTTTCAGTCAGGCTTTTGGTAAGTTTTTGTGCCCTTCAAGGTCAGGGTCTGTTGCTGATGATCCCGAACATGTACAAGATTGCGGGCGAGCTGCTGCCCTGCGTGATGCATGTGGCGGCTCGGGCCTTGGCTGGCCAGGCGTTGTCTATCTTCGGAGACCACAGCGACGTGATGGCATGCCGGGCCACTGGCTGGGCCATGCTTGCTTCGGAGTCTGTGGAGATGGCACAGGTCAACGGCCTTGTGGCGCATCTCGTGTCCATGGAGCGCCGCGTGCCTGTGCAGCACTTCTTCGACGGTTTCCGCACCAGCCACGAGGTGAACAAGGTGAAGCTCATCGATTACCAGACTATGAAGTCTTTCATCAACTGGGATGCTATCAAAGAGCATCATGATTTGGCGCTGAACCCGAGGCACCCCCATGTGCAGGGAACTTCCCAAGGCCCAGACATTTTCTTCCAGTGCGTGGAGGCAGGGAACAGGTTCTACGATGGCCTCGCAGATCTGTTTGAGCAGAAGGGGAAGATGGTGCAAGAGAAGACTGGCCTCCACTTTGCCCTCTATGGCTATGAGGGCCACCCTGAAGCAAAGCATGTCATAGTGGTCATGGGAAGTGCTGCCGTGACCTGTGGCGAGACGGCTTCGTACCTCGCCAAGAGCAAGGACCAGCGCGTCGGCGTTCTGAAAGTCCGGCTTTTCCGGCCTTGGGATAACGCCCGCTTCTTGGCCGCGCTGCCACCGACGACAGAACGCATCTGCGTGCTAGACAGGACCAAGGAGCCGGGCTCCCAAGGTGAGCCCCTGCTCCTGGAGGTGCGCACAACTCTTCATTCCTCTGCACATCCTGAGATCGTGGTGGTTGGCGGCCGCTATGGCCTTGGCTCCAAGGAGTTCACGCCGAACTGTGTGCTCTCCATCTTTGAGAATCTGGCCAAGGACACCCCGAAGCCGCGATTCACCGTGGGCATCAACGATGATGTGACTAACCTGTCCCTGCCGGTGGGGCCCTGGCTCAACGTGCTTCCGGAGGGTACCACAGAGTGCATGTTCTACGGGCTTGGTAGCGACGGCACCGTGGGTGCAAACAAGTCTGCAGTCAAGATGATCGCACTGGGCACAGAGCTCCACGCACAGGCCCGGGCCGGGGGGAAGGGGGGATGTATATAAACGTTCCGAAGAGTTGCACTGACTTCAGGCCTACTTTGAGTATGACGCCAAGAAGAGCGGCGGGGTGACCATCAGCCACTTGCGCTTTGGTCCCAAGCCCATCCATGCCCCGTACAACGTCCGCGCTGCTGACTACATGGCCATCCACAAGCAGAGCTACGTGCAGCAGTATGCGGCTTCGGCGGCACAGCCTTGCCCCATCTGTGCCTGAGCTGTCCGGAGCGGGCAGCAGCTTTTCTTGTGCTCAGGATATGACGAGGTACTTGAAACCGAATGCAGTTTGCGTCATCAACTGCTCCTGGGACGAAAGCGAGCTGGAGGCACAGCTGCCAGCCAAGATGCGCAAGGACCTCGCAGCCAAGCAGGCAGGTTTGCCTTTGCATCCCTGCAGCATCTTATGCTGATGATACCAGGCCAAGCTCTTTATCATCGATGCCACGAAGATTGCAGTGAAGGCGCGACTAAGTGCGAGCGGCCGTTTGCAAGTTGTTTCCTCATGTATCGGTGCTGGCACTGGTCCCTTTGGTAGGCTGGCCTTGGCAAGCGCATCAACATGATCATGCAGGCTCGGTGCGGGCAGCTGAAAACAGCAAAGGGTTGCATGCCGCATCCGTCCTTGCGCATGGCAGACCGTCTTCTTCAAGCTCAGCGCCGTGATGCCCTACGAAGAGGCTGTGGCAAGCGTTTTGTTCTTGCGGCCTGGTATCGCAAGCTGGATTTCCGCGGATAGGCTGTGGAGATGTTGAAGAAGAGCATCAAGAAGATGTACGGCAAGAAGGCTGGGGCTGGTACTGTAGCTTCTGTCACTGGCTTCGGCAGAGTCATGACAGGGGGACAAAGTGGTGAACATGAACATCGCCGGTGTGGATGCCGCCATTGATGGCATCATCGCCGTCAAGATCCCCGCCTCCTGGGGCGACCTGTCAACCGACGAGGAGGCACCTGGGCTTCGACTTAGACTTCGGTTGCCATCTATGGTGTCACGCCTTGCTGTTCTTCCAGGCTGCCTCCCGCGCCTCTCGGCAAGTCGCCTACGCCAAGGGCCCGCGCATGTTCCCGGAGGTGCAGGATGCGGACCAGTTCGCCAAGCAGGTGCAGACCCCTTGCAACAACCTTGATGGCAACTCGCTGCCTGTGAGCGCCTTCGTGCCGGGCGGGCGCGTGCCATGTGGCACCAGCCAGTACGAGAAGCGTGGAATTGCGATCAACGTGGCCTGGCTGAAACGTGATTCTTTCGGGTAGTGCCTCCCACATGGCTGCAATCAGTATGAACGAAGTTGCATGAAGCTGCGAAGCTTAGGTGCCAGTCGTGGACATGGACAAGTGCACACAGTGCAACAAGTGCAGCCTCATTTGTCCGCATGCGGCTGTGCGGCCCTTCTTGATGACAAACCAGGATCTAGGCAAGGCCCCTGCGAGCTTCAAGGAGGGCAGCCGTGCTGCAATCGGCGGCGGTGTGTTGGACAACTACCAGTACCGCATCCAAGTCTCACCGTGGGACTGCACTGGCTGTGAACTTTGCGTTCGCATCTGCCCCGCTGACGCACTGGCGCTGAAGCCGGCTGCAGACGTCATCCAGCAGGAGGAGCCAAACTGGAACTTCGCCATCACTCTGCCAGACCACGGCGAGGAGATCGACAAGACAACTGTGAAGGGCTCCCAATTCCAAAAGCCATATTTGGAGTTTAGTGGTGCCTGTGAGGGCTGTGGCGAGACGCCTCATGTGAAATTGATGACTCAGCTGTTTCCGGAGAAGCATTGCAGAAATCTTTCTTTAGTTTTTCATACTGGAGCGGTGTATCAACTGACACAGCTTCAGCATCCTGAGCCCCACATCCCCACGGTGGCTGAGGTTCGGAGACAGGCTTGTCATTGCCAATGCAACAGGTCGGAGCCTCACATGATCCCTTCTCGTCTTAGGTCAGTGTTTTGAGTTTTGAGGCTGCTCTTCCATCTGGGGCGGCTCCAACCCGTCCTTCCCATACACCGTCAACACCAAGGGTGACTGGGTCCTTGTTAAGGAACTTAGTTTACACTACCGGGAGTCTGTAGTAAATATTATACATAATATGGCTTTCCTTAATATGCTGATCTAGAGTAAAGTTTCATTAACAAGAACCCAGGTGAGGGTCCAGCCTGGGCCAACTCCCTCTTCGAGGACAACGCCGAGTTCGGCTTCGGCATGCGAAAGGCAAGAGCGCATGATAGCAGTATATAGCAGTCTTATCGTAGCCTTGTAGCACGCTTATAGTAACCTTATAGTAACCTTCTATAACCTTATAGTAACCTTATAGCCCAGACAAGAGGGTCCCTTCGTATCACTGATAGTAGCCTTGTAGTAACCTTACAGTAGAAGATGCCCAGACAAGACTGGACGCAGGGATATGCAGAGCAAAGGGGTCTTGTCAGCAAGCGGCCCTCGAGGCCTTCAAGCAGCGCCGAGACTACTTGGCCTTGCAGGTCGAGGTGTGCCTTGAGCTTCCGAAGTTCACGGATCTTCCTGGTCATCTCCCACTCATGCTTCTGCCAGGCTGCCCTGACCGACGAGTCCGTGCCTATGTCCGAGGAGCTTCGGCAGGCCCTGAAGCAGTACCTGGTCATGCGCCAGGACCTTTGCTACGACCCTGCTGCTACCTTCAACGCGAAGTGTCTCCTGGCAGGAGCAGATGCACGATCTCCTGCTCCCGCGTGGGCGAAGCATCTACCACCAGATCATGGAGAAGCTGGAGCCCCTTCTGGAGAAGGACCTGCGATGTCGAGTTCATAGCCGCTCCTCGTGCGTGCACCATCGCCTGCTTCAGGAGAAGGACGCGCACCCAAAAATCAAAGCCCTCCATGACTTGCCGCTGAGCTGCAGTATGTTCGGCAAGGCACACCTTTCTGATGTTTCTTTGGCACCGAGGGAGGACATGTTCGGGCGCAGCAGCTTCTGGATCGTGGGAGGAGATGGCTGGGCTTACGACATCGGCTACGGTGGCCTGGACCACGTGATTGCCAGTGAGGAGCTTTGTTAAACGGCTAGCTGTGCTGTGGTGCTGCGTAATTCTAGCATCAAGATGCCGTGATACTTGATCTCTGAGCTACGGAATGTATCCTGAGACTTTCAGTTCACTTCCATGATTCATTCATTGTATTCCCTTATGTTATCATGTCTCACCTGGAGGAGCACGTCAACATCTTGGTCCTTGACACTGAGATGTACAGCAACACGGGCGGGCAAGCGTCAAAGGCCACGCCCAAAGGAGCTATGGCCAAGTTCGCCGAGAGCGGCAAGCTCACCCAGAAGAAGGATATGGGGCAGTTGGCCATGACATACAAGAACGTCTACGTGGCGAGCATCTGCGTTCACGTGAACCCTCAGCAGGCAGTGCGGGCCATGATCGAGGCGGATGCTTATGCAGGACCCAGCATCATCTTGGCTTACTCTCCTTGCATCAGCCAGGGTTTCCCTATGGCTGAGTCCATCCAGCACTGTCAGATGGCAGTGGACTCTGGATATTGGCCCCTCTACCGCTACCACCCGGATCTGGCCAAAAACGGCAACAACCCCTTCCAGCTGGACAGCCGCAAGATCAAGGGTGACCTCTTCAAGTTCCTGTCTAAGGCAAGCTGGCTAGGGTGAAGGTCTTGTGATGTCTTGGTCATAGGGATGGGCCGCCAGGAGAACCGCTTCGCGGCGGTGATGCGCCGCGATCCGAAGCACGCCCAGGAGGGAAGTGCCCAAGGGCGTGAGCTGAAAGTGAGTGTTCCAGTAGTGTGTGGGACGGAAATGGTCGAATGGGCTTGGCAGGAGCTGGACGACAAGCTGCAGGAGAACGTGGTGCAGAAGAATCACCTTCTGCAGGTCCTGAACAAGGCGGGTTCTAGAAACTTGAAGTTGGCTTGAGTTGGCTCGTGTTGCTTCAGCTGAAGTTCGCGAGCCCGACCAGGAAGATTTGGAGGGTCAGTTCAGCAAACTGGTGGAGGGCCTCTCGGATGCCAAGAGCTCCGGCGACTCCATCACGGTGCTTTACGGCAGCGAGACTGGCAACTCCGAGGAGCAGGCCAAGAATCTGAAGCAGGACCTGAATGCCCGCGGCCTGAAGGCAACGGTGAGCTCTCTGGACGACTTCGAGTTCGAGGAGTTGCCGAATCAGAAGATCGTCATCCTGGTGGTGTCCACTTGCGGTCTCGGTGAATACCCGGCCAACTCCAAGCAAACCTGGATGAAGCTGCAGTCTCCCGACCTGCCTATGACCTGGCTTGCTGGCGTGAAGTTCTGCGTCTTCGGCTTGGGCGACTCGACCTACAGCCAGTTCTGCGTGGCAGCCGTGGGCTTCGACACGCGCCTTGCCGAGCTGGGCGCCCAGCGCATGCTGAAGCGCGGCGTCGGCGATGACCGCGACGAAGACCGCTACTACACCGGCTGGGAGGCGTGGCTCCCTGAGCTCTGGAAGGTGCTGGGCGCACCTGCGCTGCCCCTCTCCTCGGATCCTCCGGCCCCTTGCTACCGAGTGGATGTGTCTCCGGGAACCGTGGACAAGCCCCCCGTCAAGGATGACGATATCGTGCCGCCAGGTGCCACCAAGCTGGAGCTCTTGTGCAACAAGGTGCTGACAGGTGATGCTAAGTACGATCGAGATATCAGACACTACGAGTTCAAGATCGAGGGCACTTCCGTGAGCTACAAGACGGGTGAGAGCCTGGCCATCTGGCCCCGAAACCCGGTTCCAGCCGCGGAGGAATTCTGTAGGATGATGGGCTTCGATGCTGGCCAGCAGTTGCGCATCCTTCCCTTGGAAGGTGCAAGGAACTGGTGTCCCACGGAGCTCAGCGTGCGGCAGCTCTTCACCCACGTGCTGGACATTTTCGGCAAGCCGAACCGGAAGTTCTTCGAGACCTTGTCGTTCTTCACCAAGGATGAGGCAGAGAAGAAGCAACTGCAGAGCATCGTGGAGAACACCGCAGAGGGCTCCGCTCTCTACAGGGACTTAGTCCATGATTTCGCCCACCATGCAGATGTCTTTAAGAAGTTCTCCAGTGCCCGGCCGCCCATCGAGCAGCTGCTGCAGATGATCCCGGTGCTGAAGCCCAGGAGCTATTCTATCGCCAGCTCGCCGCTGATGCATCCGGACAGGATCCAGCTCTGTGTGGTCCTGGTGGACTGGACCGTGGAGACCAGCAAAGAACTCCGGCTCGGCGAGTGCACAGGCCTGGCTCCGCATATCTTTTTGCGTTCTTTCCGGATGTTCGGATGCTTCCTGCGTCACCTGCTGTTTCGTGCAGAGGCTACATGCAGAAGCAGAAGCCCGGTGCGCAGATCATGTGCGCTGTGCGCCAGAGTGCCATCGTGCTGCCGGAGGAGTGCCAAGCGGCTGTGCCTAATGCAAGACGCAAGTTGAACACTTTCCAGCTGCTGTTGCCAGGACACGACCAAGCCAGTCCTCATGGCTGGTATGGGAACTGGTCTGGCCCCATGGCGTGCTGTGACGCAGGAGACAGCTCAAGAAGTGCTTTTGCAGACAGTTTCGGTTTGTGTAGGGGGAGATGCAGGGTCTGAGTTCGCTCTCAAGGAGCGGGTGATGCAGAGCCGACAAGGCAGCAAAGTGGGCAAGTGCCTGCTCTTCTTTGGTGCTCGCTACGCAGTTGCCACTTGGCATCAGCGCTGCAGCATTTAGTCGTCGAGCTAACATGGACAACTACCTCAGGAATACCTCTACCGGGAGGAGTTCGAGAGTTACGAAAAGGAGGGTGTCCTGGCCATGCACACTGCCTTTTCGCGTGAACAGGCAGCTTGTCTTCAAAATTGTTGTGCAATCCAAAAAGGCATAGCAGCACGATTCGCACCCGTCAGCTGCTGCAGGCACGAAAGATCTATGTGCAGCACCGAATTGTGGAGGCCATCGGGGGAGAGTAAGTGGGCGGACTCTGTGTGGACTGTTTCCGAAACAAGAACTGTGAAATGTTCGCTCTTGGCGCTCAGGCAGGGCAAGAGGTGGCCGAGCTCATGCTGAAGCAGGGAGGCCACTTCTACGTATGTGGCTCTGCAAGACAAGTGCCCGAGGACATTTACACTGCCATGAAGGAGGCCAGGCCCAAAGTGGTGATTTCAAAGTGCCATTAATTTACAATGACTGGCATTAGTACTGTTGTTGTTGCAATATATAGCTGTTACTAGTTCTAATGGTATTTCTGTTGTTACTGTTATAACTATTGATGGTTCTGGTTTGTTATTATGACAGTTGTGGTTCGCACACGCACCTCCCTGTTCTTAAGAGCCTACCGCTCATGAGCGCACATCGCCCTTGACAACGGGCTTTGCATTCGCAGTGCCGGTTGGAGTTGGAAGGGGAGCTGGGACGACACCGTTGAATCTTCCTCGCTTGGGGTCCCCACCGTCTCCAGGTCGTAATGGCCAACGAGAGATGTACCGAGGAGGATGCAGAGGCAACTCTGTCAAACCTGAAGATGGAGGGCCGTTGCTGGCTCAGAAGGAGGCTTTGACTTTTGCTGACTTGTGGACTCTAGTGACTCCAAAGTTTTGTGAAGCCTCCGTGCATCCCCGAACAGCCCGAGGCTACACTGTGGAAGCTTGGTCTTGAGAGCTTATGCCGTGAGGATCGAGGGACCAGAGCATTTTCAGTTTCAAATTTCTTTAGGCATGCATGCTGGACCACCAGAAAGCAGTGGATCTACAACTTCTTTAATCATTCTCTAGAAAGGCGGGGCACGGGCGCAAGTGCTAGAAGTCGGAGATATACGAAGAGCAATAGCGAGCAATAGTATGGGGCTGGGTCAGGTGAGCATCACACTCTTCTAGTACTTGATACATGTCCTGCCGAATGTGCAGCCGTTGAGCTGAGTTCCCAACCGCCCTGCTGGAAATGGCTCAAAATCTGACTGCCCTGCTGCGCATGCACAGCCCATCTAAACCCGTCATGCTGACGGTTCAGCGGGAGTCTTCGTTTTATTCTAGAGCTCCTCCCGAAGCTTTTCACCGAAGTGTTCATTGAAGATATCAGGGGCAACACTCTGCCAACATGCGTGGCTTCTGATTCTCGACGCTTGTGGGTTTCCATGGCCAAACTTGAAGCAGCCGAGGCTGGCTGCCAATCTGAGAATAAGAAGTTCAACAAAGCTCAGTAGGTAGATCATTCCCGCCCCACTTGCTGGAGACTCCAAGACACGTGGGGAGGGTATTCTGGCTCCGAAGAACTCTAGAAGAGGCTTTAAACATCCTCACAACCGAACCTCTACACAAATCTTATAGAGCCTTACAAAAGCCCTGCCCTCTCCAATCGCTCTGTTCTAGCTCGAAGCTGCAGCTGTCTCCGATTTTGGCTCTGCAGTTCCAGTCTTAGAGAGCGCCCGAGTTTATTTCTTGTCGCAAAAAAACATGGAAGTGGTCTGAAACATCGCAAATGCTCCGAAGATTTTTCTGAGATCCTTGGAACCGTAAGGTTGAAACTCTGAACCCCAAACCCTCCTGCACCTTGAAGAATTTATGTCCGCCATGTTTTGCAGTTTCCTTGGTCATGGCGATGATGCACTCGAGAGAGCTTGACCTTCGCGAAGAACTGCAGAGGAGCCTTTTTCGGGCGGTTGTCGGCTCGGATGTTTTGAAAGCCTTCGGCTCGACGTTCCGAAGCTCGGTTGATACACTTACATGATATCTGGGATTTTCTCCGAAAATTAGGGGGGTACCGTATTTTGGGGTCCTTACAATAGGGATCCTACTATTTCGGGTACTATATTAGGGTCCCCCATTTTCGGAAACTCCCATATAGCTCTCTGCCTCGCATCCAGCATCATTTGGCCCATAGCTTCGGATTCCCATAGTGTCGAGTATCCGAAGCATTGAGATCTGACACTCCCCATGCTAAACCCTAAACCCTAAACCCTGAACCCTACGCCCCTAACTGTCGAAGCCCCTCCCCTAAAGCCGTAAATCCCACGACGGGCTGCCAGAACCTACGAGTTTGGCATGAGTAGTCATCATGCACCTCGCACTTAGAGGGTCGGGGGACTTAGTAAGTAGTTATTTTATAGACTTATAAGTACCATAACCCCAATTAGGGTCCCTATTAAGGTCCTTCACATACCCATGTGTTGGGCCTAAACGTACTATTTCGAATCTTGATGAATTGCCAAAGCAGCGTTCATCCCCCAGATTATTCAATTCATGAAGCCTTAAGCTTTTCAGCCCCAAGCCCGAAACCCAAAACCCTGACACCCTAAACCCTTAACCCTTAAACCCTAAACCCTTAAACCCTTAAATCCTAAACCCTTTTGCCCCATACCCTAAACCCTGAACTGCTGCCCAGGTCAGGAAACTCCTGTGGACGATGACGTGAGCTTTGCCGTCTCAGAAGTGGACATCTTCGTGAGTCACTCCTGGTCTTCCGACCCTCTCTCACCAGTTAGGTGGGAGGGTTCAGGATTTTGGGTCTAGGGTTTAAGAGTTTACGGTTTAGGAAGGTTTAGGGTGAGAGGTTCGGATCATCAGACGGAGAATAGTGGTAAAGAGACGACATATGATGTAATCATCTAGATACCGGATGCGTAAAGGATCTAGGTACTCCGTGTTCACTGAGAAGCCTTTTTTATTCGAAACCCAGCATATCAGGTTTCAAGGCTCAGTGTCCTTTTGCTTTTGCTTTCTTGCAGTCAAGTTTGCGTGATCTAGCAAGAGACGGTTTTTAGGGCTACAGGCTTTTGGGTCTGTGTTTTATTGACTTTGGTGTGGGATGTTTAGTGTTCACGACCGAGGCTAAGGGTGGTTCTCTAAATTAGGGTCCCTTTGAGGGTCCTTCTTATCAGGGTGCGGTACTAAAAAGGAATTGCTCATGAGATAGAAGCTTCTGGGTCGAATCTGTATAGTCAGAAGCTGCTTGAAGCCCAGACAAGACGACTGTCGGAAATTGTTCTTCTTTTCCACCGCACGGCTTCATACACTCTAAGTCTTCTATCCTTAAGCCCTACGCCCCACACATTGCAAGCTAAAAGCCCCAAACCCCAAACCCTATAGCCCTGCAAGCGGGTTTGCTAACAGGGACGATTTTAGACCGTATTACAAGTGCTCTTGGGTCAGGGCTTCTTGGAGTTCACTTCGGCTTTGCTGGAAAACGTGGCAGGCACGACACTTTCCATACATTTCCAGAGCTAGCTCATGAACAGTCTGTGCTTTTTGTACTTGCCAGCTTGTCAACACTGAATCGACGCAGAAACGCGGCATGTGTTTCTGCGCCCTATCTTGCTGCTTACTTGAGGTTTCTTTGTTTGTTCGGTGTTGGAGGGGGGGGGGGGCGGGGGGTGGGGTGGGGGGATGATGACGTACATATCGGGCTTGTCAGCGACCGTCTCCGGCCAAGCGGTTCTCGAGTAAGAAGCATGTTGAATATTGCTTTTGAGGGTTCCTTACTATAGCTAAGGTATAATATACACCAAACCATTTTTTCGTTAAGGCCACTGCATTACAACTCTGCATTGACAACAAGAATCCCGAACTCCAAAGCCTTGCTGAAGCACCTTTGACCATTAAGTCCATAGCCATACATAGTTGATGCATCACCACTCTTGATGGCATAGCTTAACACAACATAGCATAAACATGAATGACCCCAAGACTCCAGGATCAATCCGAGAACCTCAACATAACTTTCTGAAACCTTTTTTTCCACTGAACCAGACAGTCGAAACCACCCCTGTTCGTGAACCCGCTGGGGCCCGAAGCTCTGGGACTATTGGCCCGAAGAGACAGCGGCGTCTACTGGGAGGTTCACGGGTAGTTTGTAAGTAGGACCGAACATAGTTTAATAACTAGAGTCATCCTACTTATCGCCCTATAACGCTAGGTATAAACTATGTCAGGGGACTTATCTATGTTAGGGGACTTATACCCCTACATATAACTCCCATGAACCTCCAAGTAAGCCAGCCCCAGGATTCCTGGGCAAAGTATTTTGCGCTCTGCCGCGAGTTGAACCTGCATAAGGCCCGCTGCAAAGATTTAGGGTATTATAGGGCTTCTGGAGATCACGTGAAATGTGGGACTTTCCGAAAACAGGGGATCCTACTATAGTATTACTCTAAATACTGGGATCCTTATGCGGCGCCTAAATAAGGAACCCCCCCTCCTTTTCGGAAACTCCCATGTCGGTTATAAGTCATCGCTTACGAGTCGTTTTGTACGAGGAGTTGGGGCTGCGGTCTTTCTTTTGACCCAGCTACTGATTAAGTGCGTGGCTCGGAGATATGGGAGTTTCCGAAAATTTGGGCTACCTTAGGGATCCTTGAACAGGATCCTTCAAAGGGATCTATAAGGGCTCTAAGAGTTTAGGGTTTAGGGTGTAGAGTTTCCGAAAATTCGGGGTATCTTATTCTGGGATCCCTCTAATAAGGATCCTACTGTTTAGGGTACTATATTAGGTTCCCTATTTTCCGAAACTCCCAACTAAGTGCATCAAAAGGCCATCCGAATCCGGCTACAAGTCTTGAAGCAGCTGTGCTGCTGGCAGTCGTGGTGGTGGTGGTTTTGGCGGTTGTGGTGGCAGTGGCGGTAGTAGAGCAGTAGTAGTAGCAGTTATGGGAGTGGTAGTGATAGTGGAGCTGAGCAAAGAAACACCTGGCACCGAAGCTCCCAAAACTTGGACACGTCGCAGAACATGGTTTGGGGCTTGGGGTTTTGTTTGGTTTCGCTTTCAGGGTTCAGGGTTTTAGGCTTGGTTGTTGGTTGTGGGTTCAAGGGCAACCATGGGAGTTGTTCTTTTGCAGAGCTGCCTGTGAGAATGTGATTCAACAAGCACCAGAAATCTTGTATTGACTTGTACCACTCCCTGCTTCTCGAACTCTAATTCGGAAGTTCGAAACTCTTCAAACCCTACGGTAAACCCTCAACCCACAAGCTCTTGAACCTGAACCCTAAACGGCCGTGAACGCTCGGGGAGACCTGTAAAGGAACCCTTATAGACCTCAGCCATCAAGCCCTACGGTTGATGATATACATCCTGCAGTACCTGAATAAAAGGGCCCTAAACTCTGGGAATTATTCCTTACTATAAGGCCCCTCAACTATGGGAATTATTCCTCCATATAGGGACCCTAAACTATGGGAATTCTGGTGTATATCTCTTATTATGGGTAATGCAGGGATTTGTATCATCAAGTCCTACTTGGAGGGTCAGGGGACTTAGTAAGTAGTTATTTTATAGAGTTATAAGCACCATAACCCCAAATAGGGTCCCTATTAAGGTACTTATAAGTCTATGTAATAACTACTTACTAAGTCCCTCGACCCTCCAAGTAGCGCCAAGTCCTACGGTTGATGATATAAATCCTGCATGACCCATAGTAAGAGATATACACCATAATTCCCATAGTTTAGGGTCCTTAAGGTCATGCAGGGTTTTGTATCATCAAGTCCCAGCGCGCCAAGAGGCCTTAGAGTCCCTCTCCGTGCTCTTGGTTCTCTTCTTTCCCCTGTTCCCTCTTCGCGGCATCGATCCGAAAACTGGTTTTGATGCGGAGACCACTCTCTTCGTGGCAGTCTGCTGGCTGTCGGCCATGGGTGTGTACCTTGCCGTGCTTTTTTTCGGCCAACATCTGCACATCGGAGTCTCCGGGCCCCGAAATCCGACTCTCTGGGTGGACAAGCTATGCATTCACCAGGGCGATGCAGGACTGTGGGGAATGGATCTCTATAGTAGCCCCTATATAATCCCCAATAAGTCCCTGACCCTTAAACCCTAAACCCGAAACCGTCTCCATAGCCCATTCCCCCATTCCCTACTAAGCACCAGAGGACAGAAAGCTGCCGGAATCAGGGCCCTTCCTTTCTTCGTGACGCAATCCTCGAAGTTCCTGATGTTATATGACGGGAGCTATCTCGACAGGCTCCTGGGTTCTTGTTAAGGAGTTTAGTTGAAGTTACCAAAATAGGGATCTATAGTAAATATTATGGTTTCCTATCATGGTAACTGAAATTAACTCCTTTAACAAGAACCCAGGCTCTGGTGTGTCGTAGAATTGGCAACTTTCGTGAACAGCTCGAGTTGCGAGCACGTCTGCTTCGTTCCATTGTGGCTGCCTCGCTGGCTTTTCACCACTATGTTGCTGGACATCTTGCAACTTAGCTCTTGTCAAAGTCCTTAACTTAAACTTACGATAATCGGAAACCATATTATTTACGATAGATCCCGATTATGGTAATTTACAATAAGGGTGGTTGCCAAAGTTGGGGTCCCTTTTTGGGTACCCTAAATATTAGGTTATTAGGTGCCGTATCATATTAGGGACCCAAAAAGGGACCCTAACTTTGACAACTACCCATAAATGCCCAGGCAAGGCTGCATCTGTATAGCTGCGCTCCTCGCGTCCTGTGCGCCATCGCCACAGAAACTCTCGCCACTCGCATCAGATCGTTCCCTGAACCACTTCTTGAACAACCTCCTGCTGGTGGTCGTCTTGCTTCCGGGCTACATCGTTGTTCTGGTGCCGTCGATGTGGGCCCTGGGCAGAAAAGCTCAGGGCCACGAGGAGATGCTGAGACAGTTTGCAGCCTTCGATATCCGCAACTGCAAGTGCTCTGACGAATCCGACCGGCAACCCTTGCAAGCGTTGGTTGCAGGGCTCTTTACTGAGGATGACGTTGCGAGTGTTTCCATCGAGGTTGCGGGCTCTATCTCGGACTCCAGTGAATCCACGACTTCCGTCTCAGAGGAGTGGCATGGCTCCTACAGGTCCTTAGTCAGATGCGGATCGCTCTCTGCCGATGAGGGCCCAGACCCGGGCCCTTTGTCGCAAGAGCCACGGAAGGAGGGCTCAGGGAGCGACAGTGGCCTGGAAGCCTTCAATGCATACGTCCGAGGCGCGGAATTCGGGGCTTGGGTTACGTGTCTGACGGTGACAGCGACAATGATTCAGATGACAGGGATGATGTCGACCACGAGGTTGCAACGATGGCTGATGCTGGTAAGAAGGAAGTTGTGATGACAATGTGATTGCTGGTGAAGGTGGCTGCTGCTGCTGCTGCTGCTTCTGCGATGTCGATGCTGGTGATGAGGATGGCACTAGCGATGATCACGACGAGGGTCATCATGATGGGTGATGATAGTGACGACGGGGATCCCGATGATTTCACGGAGAAGGCGCTAACAGCGACAATAAGATCGACATTGGTATCCCGCCAAACTGACGGTGCTAAAATCGGTCCAGGTGTTATGAGCTCGGAAAGTTCAGAGAAGTTCGGAGAGCCCTTTACCCATCATGGAACCCAAAGTTTCGTGTGCAGTCGCGGTTTCACAACTTGCTTCAACCACGCTTAGTCCCGACCTGTCACCCCCAAACACCCCAAAGCCGACACCCTGCTGGGAGGTTATAGGTGGGGTTTTAAGTCCCCTAATATGGGTTATAAAGTTTGTAAAGAAAGTTATCCTACCTATAACCCTACTCATAGCCACTCATGACTCATGAACCTCCAAGTGAGGCCCCTTGCGGCAAGCTTTGATGGACAAACTCGGCGATGAGACCTTCCTCAGCCGCTCGTGTGTTGGCATTCGTCAGATCGTCTGTGTGTTTCCACTGAGCACGCTGATACGCCCTTGACTAGCAACTTTAGGACCCATAACTTCGTGCACACTGACGCTCGAATAAGCAGCAGCTTGAAACAAGGGTCTTCACTCGCTACGGAATCCCTAAACCCTGAGCCCCAAACCCTACATAATCCATGCTCTTCTCGACCCAAGAGGTCTAGTCTAGATCCGACTTCATAAGCACCCGAAGCGCTCAATTTCAACCCCAAGCTAGACTTTCAACCTTGCCCAGGTTTTCGCACCTGCTTTGTGGCGTTTTTGCCTGGTAGCTCCTTCGCCACTTGCCGTGGAAAGCTGACGGAGATGCAGTCCGGTGTAAGGTTACAACAGTAGAGGGAACTCCAGAAAGTTGGAATATGGTTGCAGGGTAGGATACCCTATAATTAACCAGAAATGTTTTAGGATACTCATATTCTAACTTTCTGGCTTTTGCTGTATGACAAGAGTTTGGCAAGCAAGGTGTTTAACGGGGTATTCTCGGCTCGCTTGAGCTGAACAGCTGAACAAAACAACTGAAAAACCCAAGCCCTAAACCCTGAAGCCTAAACTCCAATCCATGAAACCAACCCTTCATGCTGAGTTCTTGTTGAATACCCTCGCGGTGGATGGAGCTCACTCCGCGGCCTTTGACTTTCCACACAGCCCAGAGAAGTGGATCCTTTGTTTGGTGGAGGCTCCATCCTCGGGTTTATTTAGGGTTTAGGGTTTAGGGTTGAGTGGTTCCTGGGTAGTACGCTTTTGCCCCCTTCCCCTTGTTATAAAGTCTAGGGTTTAGGGTACCCTTATTATGAAGGGGCTACTTAGGAACGGGTTTAGGGTTCAGGGCTGTGTGGTTCGGGTTTTTAGGCTTTTTGGGGGAGTTTCGGGCTTGGGGGGGTTAGGGATTTATGGCGTTTAGGGGTTGGGGACGGGGGTTGGAGGGCTTGGGGTCGGGGTTGAGGGCTTGGAGTAGAAGTGGCAGGATGGAAGCCTCGGCTTGATACTACTTGGAGGGTCAGGGGACTTAGTAAGTAGTTATTTTATAGAGTTATAAGCACCATAACCCCAATTAGGGTCCCTAGTAAGGTACTTATAAGTCTATATAGTAACTACTTACTAAGTCCCTCGACCCTCCAAGTAGGTCTTCGGCTATGTTCGGCATGCCCCGAGAAACACCTAAAATCTCTCAGCACCGGAAGCCATTCCAGAGGCGGCAATTATGAATCTCACGGTGACCCCACTGCTGCTGCCCAACTTGCTGTGCCTCTGCCTGTGTTAGAGCATACTTTGGTCTCGCGTTTAGAGGTTTCTTGTTGAGGGTTTTGGGTGTTTGTCTGCGTGTTTTCGTTTGGTGCACACCCCGGGACCTTGAAGGGTGTTGGGGCCTAAATCGTAGGTTTAAATGTTGAGAGCTTCCTTCTTTACCGAGTCGCGACTTTCCTGCCACCACCCTAAGACCCTAAACCCTAAACCCCTAAAACCCTAAACCCAGGTTTAAGGCCTCTGCCAAGGTATCTCACGCACAAGGTCTACATATCTGTGAGACCCGGATGTCTCCAGTCACTCCTTACGCTTGTCGGTGGCTGGGTTCTTGTTTACGGATGTTTAGGGTTTAGGGTTTGTCTAGTCTGGCAGAGTAATCAGGAAAGAGTGCTAATTTGTCATTTGTCCGATGGGGTAGCGTAGTTAACTTAGTTTACGCTCCTTTGCACAAGCCTTTCATAAGCCCTTGTGAAGGTGGCTTTGTGGTGAGTACCTTGGTAATCTTCTTGGGCTTTGCTGCATTGGGAGCGCTCGAAGCGGTGGTGCTGACGCACTCTTTCAGGCACGGCACATGCGAAGTCAAGGGAAGACTTAGAGGATCAGGAAATTCCGTAAGCCGTAAGTGGGGTTACCGGAAGTGTCTCTAACATGTTTGCGTATACCCCCAACCAAGGTTCTTCCCCAACCAAGGTTCTTCCGAACTTTGTTAACAAGTTCCCTTGTCCTCAAGTTCAGTGATTGCAAAAGCAGAGGAAGAGGCGGACAGAAGGAAGGAGTAGGAGCAACCGGAGTGACGGTATGAGTAGGAGGAGGAGCAGGAGAATGAAGACAAGACAGCTGTACTTGTCCAAGCACGAAGTACAACTTGCGGGCACGAAAGAGAAACTCATGTACAGAAGTGTGCACAGTGACCATCAGCAACTCTTCGAGTTAATAATGTTGGGTATCACGCTTCGGGTCGTTAGTCAGAGACTTGCAACTGCCCTTGCGACTCTGATACTTTGCGCTGGAGGTGGTTGTTGGTGTTCCTCTTTCTCACGGGCCTCATTCTGGCAAACTTCTGCTTTCACTTCTGGCATGCTGAAATGAGACGCATCTTGCATCGTTGCAAATCCCTCTTGGGACTCAAAGGTTAACACGACCTTCCGTTGAAAATATAAATCCTGCATTACCCCAAGGAACCTAAATCATGGGAATCATGGTATATTCCTTGTTATCCGGGTTATGGATAGTGCAGGGTTTCTGAATTATGGGGATCATGGTATATTCCTTGTTATCCCTGTTATGGGGAGTGCAGGATTTATCATCATCAACCGTTGCATGCCCTATCGGGCAGGTTTAATCATCACTTAATCTTTACGAGCACGGATCTCCAGCGACGCCGGGCGGTTGAGGGCTTGGAGGGGGGCTCTCAGGGTCGAGTTTTTTTTTTTTTTTTTATTGGGGGGGGGGGGTGGTGGTTTAGACGGTTTTGAAGGCCGGGTGGGATTTTAGACCAGTTTGGGGGGCTTAAAGATCACGGCTGGGGAGTTCAGGGTTCAGCGCTTCGGTTCTTGAATCCTCTGTTCCAGGCTTCTTGAGGCGGAACATAGACTAGGGGCGGGGCAGTTCTTGAGTTTTAGTGCTCAGTAGTTATATATAAGGATCTCGACATGCTACGCCCTGAAGCCCAAACCGAAAACCCCAGACCCACAATACCAAGCCCTAAACCCTAAACTCTGTATACCGAGGACTAGGAATATGAGCTAATGTAGGAACCTGATAAGAAACCCTTGGGCCTATAACCCCAAATCAGTAGGGTTCATACAAGGAATATATATGAAGCCTCCGGCTGTGGTTTGGAGTTCGGGGGTAGGTGGTGCCCGTTGTTGGACAGGGTGTAAGTACAGGACTGCAGGGCTGCAGGATAGGAAGCCTCGAACTTTGGGGTTCAGGGTTTTTAGGATTTCGGGTGTTGATGGGCGGCATCTTGCATGAGCTTGGTGCCCCAAGCTGTAGTAGGAATTACGGTTTATTCGGCTTTATCGCTTCTTACGGAAAAATGTTCTCTTATTGCAATTCTTGAGCCGGCTTCCAGACCGGCAGCATAGCTTTCTCACAGTCCTGCCCAAAGGAGTGTTATACGGCAACATGATCCTAAGCTCTACGGTGATTATTGCTAAACCCGAAACCCGAAACTCTGAACTCTGAACCCTTATATTAGCTGCAACCGTTCATGTTAATCTCATCTTCGCTTCATGGGACTTCGTGAACCCTTCGGCTCGGGTTATACTTCCATGGCCAGGCAGATGGCAAGACACACACACACACACAAACATACATATATATATATATATATATACATATATATAAGCATTAGTACTGCAATGGGTTTAGGGTTTAGGGCATTGAGATGGTACGGTGGCAGACAGTTTACATGAGCTTAGCCTGTTTGTAAGATGACAACCAAAGCGCAGTCTAGAGCACAATGGTGATGTGGGACTCTCTGTGCCGGCCGATGTGCAACAGCCAGCTGAATGCCAGGCAGTTGCAAGGAGGTTTTCGTGTTGGGCTCATCGGGTTGTAGTCGTAATGCTCAGTCTGCGAATATATTTATAAGGCCTCTATATTACTTGGTTGACCTTTACTGTCACTTTAAAACTTTATTACTTTTGGAGTTAGCCTTTTTGATATTGGGGGTATTAAACCCAGATTATAGTATTCTTATAGAGCCCTTGTAGTAGCCCTTAACAGACCCCTTTAAAAGGAACCCTAATGGCCTGAAGCTGCAGTGCAGCCATTGTGCACTGAGCACTCCACTCCCAATTCTTAGCTGTTCTGGCTGCTAGCACATCTCCTTAACATAGGGGGCCTTAAATATTTAGAATAGGGTCTTGGGGCCCATTATACTAGGCTTATAATTAGGAGCTGGGGTAGAATTGAGGCCCCTACAGTATTCGAGAATCCCTGCCGTCATGAACAGATGCAATACATGGGGCTGATCCAAGCCAAGCTTTGGTTGGAGTTGGCTCTAGGATGCTGCTCGTAGTGCAAGTTGAATGTGTGGTGACATGGCACTTAATTACAAACCCGCAGACCCCGCATCCTAGGCCCAAGCCCTAAACTCCGCACGCTGGATACTGGGCCCCAAACACCTTGCAAACACCCAGAAAGTGTCGCGTAGTGTATTTCTAGAACCCGAAGCTCCAAACCCTTATAGAACGCGCAAGGTGAACCCTTAAAGGAACCCTTAGAGAACGACGTCCCTCCCAAAGCTACGGCCAGGCGAAGCGCCCGAGATTCTTTTAATCCAACATCCCAACGGGGCCCTCGCTCAGGCCTTTGAACTTTTGGGGTTCAGGGTTTAGGGGTTTAGGGGTTTAGGGGCTTAGGGGTTTAGGGTTTCGCGTCTGGACTTAAGTTGAGGGGTTTAGCGTCCCAGGAGGATTTAGAGGAGTAGGGCTGAGGATGTTGATGGCTTGGGTTTGGGGATTTGCGTTTCTTTTCTGGATTTGAGGGCTTTTTGGGTCTAGAGTTTCAGGGTGTCGGGAACTCGGATCGCGGGTTTCGGCCATAAGAAGGCGTGAGGTTCAGGATTCTGAGGCATAAGGTTCATGTACAGTTGGGGTTGTTGTTGATGCGAATTCCGCGCAGACAAGGATGACGATCATATGTCGTGAGAGTACCCAAGGTGGGAGAATCTTCAGGACTTGGCAGACTTTTGGGAAGGGCTTGGAGGTTCATGGGTAGTCTTAAGTGGAGTTCTAAGCCCCCTCATATAGATCATTCCTGATTAATACTACAGTTACCCTAAGTATAAACCCACCTATAAGTACCCATGAGCCTTCAAGGGGTTGCTTAGGCCCCATGCGGAAGGAGCAGGTTTTGTTTCCGGCTGCAGCCTAATCGGATCCTAAACCCCAAAACCCTAAGCCCTAGACTAGGCCACTAAACCCGACGTAAACCCTTTCATTCAGCAGCCAACGGAGCCCCAAGTTCTCAACAAGGCCTAAATGCCCTAAACCCCCAAAGCCCCAAGCCCTAAATCTACCTGGTCCTTAGCCCGAAACCTTGCGGTCCCGAAACCCCTCCCGGCCACCAAATAGGAGTTTCCGACAATTTGGGGTACCTTACTTTGGGGGTCCTTATAATAAGGATCCTACTATTTAGGGTACTATATAGGGGTCCCCTATTTTCGGAAACTCCCAAATGGCCGAATCCCCTCAGGCTTGCTTGCCCGACTACGTTGGCACCCCTCCGCCAGAAACTCCGCCCGAGCTGGTCGGCGCCTTGCAAAGCCTCAACCCCTGCACTCTAAGGCCTCAACCCTTAAAGCGCTGAAACCCTGAAGACCTAAATCCTGAACGCTTGTGAAATTTCCCTGTCTTGAAGCGCCGTGTTGACATGTCCTCATGCGTGAATAGTTTTTGAGACAGTTCTGAACGCACCCTGTACGACAGACGTCTTGGGCTCAGACCAAAAAGTGCGCTCGTTGTGTGGTTGGACACTCACTAATCCAGTTCCTGCTTCAAACTGGTAGCGGAGCTGTGAGGACAACCACTAGTGTTTCACCCCCGTAGAGCCTGTGGTCCGGGGTCCGTTGGGTAGAGTAGTGATAGTCGCGGCGCAAAGGCCCCTTCTATCTGAAGCCATGAGCGTGGCAGGTTTGCGTTACCAGCCCAATCTCTGGTCACAGAACCTGAGCCCTGCAGAAACGAAAAGCGGTTCGTACATATACGACGGTACGGCTGCTGGCTTCCACGATTGGTGCTTCCGGACACAGATCCGTGTGCTGCAACATAAGGAGAAGCAGCGGCGTGAAGCTCTTAAGGACCTGCGATTTGCCGAGTCGGCAAGGGCCAAGAGCGAGTCACCAAGGAAGTGGCGTGGCAGGGCAAGTCAGGGGACCAGCGCATCGCCCACAGATGGTGATGGAAGCAGCGGTATACCCGCCAGTCCGTCCAGCGCAAAACGGACTAAGCCCGCGTCCGAGGCAGAAGATGAGGATGCGGAGTCGTTGCCGTCGCACCCCAGCCAAGTGGCGGGCGACGATGAGCAGGAGCCGGACACAGATCCGGCGGTGTACACCTTGCAAGACATTAAGGACGAGTCGCTTGATATGAGCGAATGCGTTAGCAAGATTTTGGAGGGTCTCCGAGGAGACGCCTTTTGCATTGCTCGCGACGTCGGCCTGGAACGTCTGCTTCGCCATGATGGCGTCGACTACCTGATAGAAGAAATCAGGAGGCAAGCTTTCCCTCTTCAATCTGAAGAGGCGTCCGAACTCTTCCGTCAGGGACAGCTCCTGACGGGCCCACTCGCAAAACAGCCCGGCGAGCCTATGTTGTCTTACATAGCCCGCCGAAAGCGGTGGTGGTCGACCTTGCGTGAGCTAGATCCTGATATCCGCCTTTCAGAAGCAATGAGGGCTAACCTCCTTGTTGAGCTTTCAGGGTTGGAAAGGAACGAACAGCTAATGGTCAAGACCGCCGCCCGCGTACACACCGTGGATGAGTACGCACGCGTCCTTGTTCAGCATCACTCAGTGGTGCATATGAAGGAACGTCTTCTTACCCAGAAGGACCCTAGTGGCCCAGGTAAGACCTGGAGACGTTTCGACGCTAAGCCGCAGTACCCTAAGTTTGGTTACATGGGGTATGATGGTAGTGCCGCAGAGTATGGTCACCAGGAACAGCAGGAATCCGCGGAAGGCTACGGTGACGGCTACGGCGAGGAAGCATACCAGGCCACAGCGTCTGGGGGAGATGATGCGGATGAATGGATTGATGATGAAGACCTAGCATTGCAACTCAACGCCTATACGGCAGTGGCATATGAAGCTGAGATTGACGATTTGGATGATTCCTATGCCGAGTCAGTTCAGCTTGCGTACGCGGCACAGACCGCCTTTGCCCAGGCAAAAGGAAAAGGGAAAGGGAAGAACAAGGGCAAGTCCTCCGGAAAATCCGGTGGGAAGGTCGTGCGTAGCAATTTGACTATTGCTGATCGTAAGGCCAAGTTGGCAGAGCTTAAGGCAAAGAGTAGGTGCCTGAAGTGCGGTGTGATCGGCCATTGGGCCGGAGATGCTGCCTGCAAGTTTAGCGGTAAGGGCAATGGCCCCAAGGGCACCACAACCCCAGCACAGTCTGGGGGAACTGCCAACGCAGCCGCAAAGCCGGCGGCGCCGAAGCCCCAGGCGTATTTCGCCGCAGTGGAGGAGGATGACGACACAGAGTGTGTCCACCTGTCGAATGCGAGCGCTGGTAGGCTCGAGGGTTACCCAGCCAACCTTGAGCTGACTCCCTCGAGGACCAATACCGGCAAAGGCCGCGGCAACGAACCCCTCTTCTCACCGCAGCTTCGGCGCACAGCCGCCGCTAGGATCATGCGTGACAGCCCGCCTGAGGGTTCCGATCGCGTTTTCTCCTTTGGTCAGCATAAGGGTCTGACTTACGAGCGTGTCTTGTATACGTTTCCTGGATATGTTCTTTGGGGACGCACGCAGAAGTGCCCATCCATAAATTTGGCCGATTTCTTGGATTGGGTCACGGAGTACTTTGATGTGCGTGATGACAACCCCATTAGCATTACGAGAAGGGATGTCCCTCTCAGCCAGGAGCCCCCGCCTGAACCCTTTCAGCCCGAGGTTCGCCTCGCCGCGTCAGCTGCTTCGTCCAGCGAAGGCCCCCGGAAATGCCGGGGAGGTTGCAAGGAGTTCAACAAGTCGGGGAGTAACGCATACATAGACATGCGGACCTGTAAGAAATGCGGCACCGTCACCAAGACGAAGAAAGAGAAGCCTGTCATAGACCAGGCCACATGCCCCCACACCTCCACCGAGAGGTCGGGTAGCAGTAGGAAGACCTCCCGCATTAAGTGCAAGCTTTGTGGGATGCTTCTAGATGAGCAGCCGCAGACCGAGCGAAAGGCTAGGGATGACGCAGCCACAGTGCTGCGGGAGTCCAACACCCTGGACTTCGATCTTCTGCGCAGCATAGTCGGCAGCACGGGGGATAGCCTCCCCGTAGAGGTAGTAGTTCCGGCTATTGCCCAGTTTCAAGAGACCATAGAGGGTCACTTCGTAACCGAGCCCGTGATATCTCGCGGTGACCTTCTCGCATACCTGCAAGAGGCCTTAGATGATCACTCTGCGTCATCGACCAACAACAGTTGGGAAGTGGCGTCGGCGAGATCGCGCTCTTCGAGGGCCTCCGCGACGAGGCACGCCTTCGTGGCTTTCACTGAGGGGGTCACAGATATCCATCCGGCTTTGGTTGATTTGCCCGTAGTAAATATCTACGAGGATAAGCACGTATACGCCGTGTTGGATGAGGGCTGTAACTCGACTGTTCACGGTAGCGATTGGATAGCAAACGCGGCGGGGAAACTTGCGAACTTCGGTTACAGCACGAGGTTTAAACCTGAGGGCAATCGTACCTTCAAGGGTCTTAGCGGTGCTACCGAAACCCTGGGTAGCAGGACCATACCTTTCTCTATAATGGGATTGGAGCAGGACTTGAGAGTTCCGGGCGTCCTTGATTCTCACGAGATTAAGGGTACAGCCCCTCTTCTTTTGTCCCTTTACGCCCAGGCCCAACTTGGTATAACCAAGGACCTTCGGTTCGGCGAGTGTGGTGTTCGACTTCCTTCTGAGGATAGCATCATTAGGATCAAGCTGTGTCGGACACATGACTCAGGGCTGTTATGCATAAACATAACAGAAGGTTTGGTTCAGGTGAAACAACCCCGTCTCATAAGAAGCTTCCAAATTCCCTCACCGCCAGTTCCTATATTTAGGTCTGCCGCCGCCGCCGCCTTAGCTCACTCAGAGTCTGTGAGCACCCCTCGAGATGCAACAGCGGCAGATGACGCAGTGGCAACAAGTCGCAGTCACAGTACTGTAGATGCAGGCCATGGTCATAGCACTTTAGGCGTAGGCCACGGTCACAGCTTCACAACCACAGCTGAGAATCGCAACAACACTAAGCGACGTATAAGCGTAGCGTTCCCGAATCATTGTATGGTAGGCACGTCCGTAGGAGACACGGAGCCCGCCGCGATGGCCGCAGAGGAGGGGCAGCTGCCTAAGAAGGCGCCCCCGACGGCAAAGGCTGCACCGAAGATTTCAGCAGCGCCGGAGCCTGGCCACAGTGCCATGGCGATTTCGCCAGCGGTCGGCCACAGCGCCGCACCGGCAGGAGGTACCTTTTCTGCGTCTGCACCTAAGGCGCCGCCAGGTAGTGGCTTGCCGAAGAAAGCGCCTCCCACAGAGAAGGCTAGGCCTGGGGATAGCCCAGGGAACCCGCCGGCAGCTCGTGCCACAGTGCACCCGAAGGAGATCGCGCGAGGGCACCGCGAGCTTGCCGAGTTCGATGCGGTTGTGAAGAAGGATCCGCACAACAGGCCCCTGGTTATAATGGCAGGTGGTGGTCCCCATGGTCCGGAGCTCGACACTCCTCTCCCAGCAACCGTGTATAATCCGGATTTGGCCTTGCAACCGTTCTATGCGGGGGACACAGTGAACCCGGACATCATTATTGATGTTTTTACCTGGGGCTATGAGCACCATGCCTGGCTGCAACGCGTCAGAGGGAAGTGGACGGCGGCCGAGCTCTTCGCACAGCACGAAGAGATGGAAACGCATGCTCTCACGACGTATGCGAGTGCCACTAGCTATATGCTAGTGATGTTGGACATGGTGTGGCTCAGGGACGATCGGAAAGACGATCTGACGCCAGCAGAAGCCCAACAGCGCAACGACGAACAGCGCGACCGCACAAAGCATGTTGGGTCGAATCCCGATATAATTCGGGAGCACGCGGACCACCCTAATCTGATCGCCCACGTCAGGCACATCGTGGCGAACGTCCTTGACGCTAAGGACGCTGGGATCAGGTCCATAGCCGTGCATGTGGTTTGCAAGGCCAACAGACATAGATCTGTTGCGGCGGGCATCCTTGCCCATGCTGCGCTTTTGGAGCTCGTGCCAGACTGCTCCGTCAGCCTCACTCACATGAGTGCAGCGAATAGTTGGCCCTTCATGGGCAGCAGAGCGTGCAAAGGACAGTGTCCCAAGTGTTTGCACCGCGCCCCTGGCATAGCCCAGGAGGTCCAAGACCTCACGAGGTGCTTCGTCGACGCTGTCCGCACAGACGGACCAGAGGATAACGAGTGCATCCTTGTCGTGGAGCCGCAGTGTGCACGCCCCGATGATCAGCCTACATATGCTGAGCGGTTTCATGCGCAGATGCTTGCAGAGGGCCGCATACCGGCACCGGTGA